CCCTCCTCCGAAAATATCTGTGTCATTCGACATTTGTTGCCTAATATACCAATCTCGTTCATATATATATTAATTTTTTAATTTTTAAGTTTTAATTTTAAGCAAAATTCTTGTTGGACAAAGGAAAGGAGGCTGGCACTTCCTCGGATTCCCTTTTGTTATTTTCTAATTAAGGGCTTTTAAGTGTTGATTTTCAGTGGTCGACTTTTGGTTTGGTCAGAGAATTCTGTTTTTTTTTGAACTTCCTGGTAAAGGGTCAGCCGAGGTAATAGCCAAACAAAATTGCCAAATAATATATTACCCTGCAAAAAATTAGTGTCCGCTTTTGTCAAAAGAAAAAAATTCTTGACAGTAGCGAAAATACTTGGACATATTCTTCTGATTAAACATATTTATAATTTTACTAATTGCTGCTTCCAATTCTTCCTCAGCATCAGTCGGTAAGTTCTCAGTAAGGTACCTTGCAGTATTGAAACATAATTCAATCGGGTTTAATTCAGGAGTATATTTAGGCAAATATACAAGTTCAATATTCTTTTGTTTGGCTAATTCTTCCATACTTAAACCTAACTTCTCTAATTCCTTAGTAGTATAATGAATTTTAGAATTATCCAACAAAAGATAATACTTTTCATTAGTAGGCAATTCAATGTTTTTGAGGAAATCATAAAAGTCTATAGCATCAGTTCCCTTTTTGATTCTTACTTTCCCAGTTTTCTCATCTTTAATTTTCTTTTTCACATTTTTAATCAGTTTAGAACTGACCACCGCTCCCTTTTCTACATTTCTAACACAAAGGATTAAAGTGTAGTTGGGACCTTTTTGACCTTTTTGCTCAACAACTGCCGGACAACCCTTTCGTGACCAAGCGATACGAGGAGATTCGCCTAAATGAGTGCTAAATTCATCTACTGCTAGGCAATTAGGGTGAGAATAAACCCAAGAATATTTTTTAAGAAACTGTCAAATTTCCTCTAAATCTTGTTCTGAATACCTTTTAGTTGCTCTTTTTCCAGTAAGTTCACTGTATTTTTTTAGATGGTAAGAAAGAACTTGTCGGCTATATCGATGACCTGTTCTCTTGAAAATTTCATCAGACCTCCATTGATGAGTTTTGGTGTTATACTTGGGAGAATTAGTTAAAAAGAGCAAAAGCAAAAAATCATCTTCATCCATTATTTGTTTACGGCCTCTTTTTTTCGGAATTATAGAGTTTCAGTTGGCTAGCCTTTGTCTTCATCTTCTCATTGTTCGACCACTCCTATTAAATCGTTCCTTAGCAACTTCATCTCAATTTTTATGTCCTCGGCGTAAAGCATTAAAAACTCCAAGCAATTGTTGTTCATTGTCTCCCACTACTTTCTTAGCAAAGTAATTACTTAATTTTTCAATGTCTTGACTAGTATTTTTTTCTAAGTTAGTTAATGATTTCTCTTTCTCGTTTTCTTTATAAAGTCTGAATTCATCTTGAATAAAATATTGATAAAACTTAACATCACTATCATCTTGGATAAGTTTTAATTTTCCTACTATGTCAGGAGTATAGTTTACTTTTTTTTTGCTACAAAAGTAATCTTTTCTCTTTGTGTTTACATCGATAAAAGTGTATTCTCATTTTCAAACTTTCTCATTTTTCCTCGCTTCCTCATTGGTAATTACAGCAAGATACCCCACGGAGACCATTATATTTATTTACAAAATATAAAAACGTCACAACTTATTCCACTTCGCTAAAAGATTGAGCAGTTACTTTTTTATATTTTTTCATGCTTTCTTTGGCTAAGTGATTAAGCAAACAACTTTCTAAAAGATGGTTTTCTCTATTTTCTTCTAACGGAGATTCTTCTAATTCCAAGCTTTTTATTATATTAAATAAGGCGAGTTTTGTTTCTCAGGGAGATTTATGCTTTTTTAAAATTCTTTCTAGGTTTTTGTTTAGTTTTTCGCTTAATGAATTTTCTTCCTGGTCTAATTTTTTTTCTTTCTTTTGTAATAATTCATCAAGTTTTGCCATTAATTCCTTTATCTTCTCCTTTAACTTTCTATTTTCCTCTCTTAACTCTTCCGGAATTTTTTTATTGTATTTTAATTTTCTTGTCATAATATTTTTGATGTCTATATACTAATTTTACGCTGTTAGACTATCTGTCTTCTATCTTAATTATTATATAAAAACTAAAAATTAACAAGCACAATTACTTTGAAGTCTTCTACATCTGGAGCAAATCCTTTCTCTTTCTCCTCCTCCACCGATCACACCAAAAAATAGAAGCAATAAAAGAACAATTGGAAGCAAAAGAATAATAGTAGAAAGAACCTCGCTAATTTTCATAACTACCTTTCTTGTTTTTTAGTTAAGAAATAAGCAATTATTCCCACCACTAATATTCCGACTACTGCTAATCCAATATAAAGGGGAAGTTTGCTGGATTTATTGGGAGAATTGGAGGGATTACTGCCTTGTTCTAAGTCAGATAAAGAAAGATTATTTTTTCCTATTTTTCCTAAATGAGATTTAACTTTTTGGAGTTCTTGACTACTGCTGACTGGTTTGGTTTCTTTTTTAGAATCTTGGTATTCGATTAATAAGTTATCACCTTGTAAAGTGATGGATTTGATTTTGTGCTGTTTGAAATAGGCTAAAATGCTCTCTCTCTCTCTCTCTCTCTGGGTTATCATTGTCAATGAATGGGTTGATGTCTTTGTCTTCTTCTTTTTCCACTTCTTTTTCTTCAAATCATTTCTTTTTCTCTTCATTCCAGTGGATTGGTGAATATATACCCCCCTCAATATAGCCTTTAATTTGCTCGGTTTGTTTTAGTATTCTCACTCACTCATAGCCGCTTAAACTTTTGAAAGTCTTTCAAGACATTTCTCGATAATTCTTTTCTTCTTGTTTTCAGCATTCGAGACAAAATAACTTGCTTTCCCTATTTCCCACATCCAAAACTGAAACTTGATAATTAGGGATTTTTACTTCTTGGTTACACTTATGACACTTTTGATTTCCTTCTACCATATTTAAATTTTACACAAATCATTAAGCATAAAAGCATCCATATGTAATCAGAAACAAAAAAACATTTTAATTACTTTACTTCTTCCCAGTCTAAATCTATTTTGGGTAAATATAATTCCTTAACTAATTCTTCTTTCAAAACTATTCCGTTTTCCCACTCTTTTTTTATTATTTTGACTTTCTGTTCTTGCTTGTCTCAAAAAAAAATACATTCGTAAGGAGGACAGTTTCTTTTAGGCAAAGTTATTTTTATAAGACTTTTGCTTTTGTTATGAAAAACTTTAAATTCATTTTCTCTATAATCATTAGGTTCTATTTGACAAAGAGGATTGTTTTGATAACAAAGATAATAAAAAGTAGTAGCCATATGATATAATGTTTTAACTAGTAATATTTTGAAAATTTCTTGACATTTTTAGGTAAATATTAGAACAATTTTCACAGAACCTATCTTCTTTGTATAATTTGTCAGCCAACAAAAAAGAAAAACATTCTGCTCCTCTTTTACAGACCAATATCATCTGTTTTTCAGCCTCAACTTTCATTGGGGTTGAAATCTCGATAGTTTTTTCTTGATTGCTAATCAGAATTCCATTAACCATTTCCTCAATTCTATTAATGGCTGTTTCAAAAATTTCCATTAACTCACAACAATTGGTTTGTATCATGTTATTTTTCATTGTAATAAATTTCATAAATGTTTAATCTTCCATCTGATCCTCTTGCCCACTTGCCTTTTCTTGCTCTTCTTTCAATTGTTGTGCATCTTGGTCGGTTGACTGATCTTGGTCTTGCGTTGCTGAAGTCTGTTCTTCTGTATCTTCGTCACCTATTTCTTCTGCCTCGTATAACTCACTCTCGACTGCGTCGACATTTTCATCTTGTGCTTCGTCAATATTTTCCCTTTCTAATTCATCTTGTCCTTCTAAAACATCCAAATAACTAATTTCGCTTGCATCAAAACCAAATTCATCTATTTGGGTGTCTTGCTGACCGCCCATTCCCCCTCCTCCTATGAAGTCACCATCTCCACCATCAAAAGTTTGGTCAGGAATGATATCATTAGTTACTCCTTCAAAAGGAGGAAGATTGTTAATTTTATCTATTTTAACTCCACCTTTGGTTTCTCGTCTAAATTTCCAAGTAATTACTCCTCCTGATGGAATAAAACCATAAGCCTTGGTAAATGGCTTATGAGTTGGAGGCACTTCTTTTCTCCCTTCTCAAACATCCCCAGTATCACCCATACAACGACCATTTCAAGTTAGACCACTAGTGGGAACACTACTAAATCAAGGTTCGACTGGCAAACTTTTGTATAAAGTATCTCAACTATCACTACCTCCATTATATCCACTATGTAAATCATTAAATTGCCCCATGGCTCCACGCCCAATACAAGTATAAACATCGTAAAAATATTTTACTGGTTTGCTAAATTCCAATTCAAAGCAGCCATGATGGTGTCCATCAGCTAGTTCACTGTCTTTAAACATCGGTAACAAGCCTAATCAATGTTCTCTGCTTCCATCCTCATATTCAATCAGATAGTGAACTCGTTGGTGGAAATTAGAACCCTTGGTTGATTAGTTTGTCCTAAATCTTCATCGCCTTTATCCCCTGTAATTTCAGCCAAACCACCTTGTAATTGAGGGTCAGAACTAGTCATGCCTGGCATGAAAGATTTATGTTGCGAATGCCGAAGTTTTAAACTAGGGAAATCAGTGTCGAAAGTATCTCTTCTATAAAAAATTACTGAACTTGCTAGGGCATTTTTGTATTTAACGCCAATCTTACTATCAGTTCAAGTAGTATCAACAGCAGCCTGTAATTCACTGGCTCCTTCTTGATAGACAATATTATTTAAACATTTAAATCTAACGTCTATTTCTTGGGCTACTGAAGCATTGTTGTTGTTATAAAGATTATCAAACAATTGGTCGGAATACTCAAAACGAATTTCAAAAGGATTTTTTTCGGAACGATTATAAAATTCTCCAAAATCATAATCAATATTGATAGTGTTTAAAAACAAACTAGCCCTTTGCACACTTCTTCCTAAAACCTGTCAAATAGGAGTGACAACTGGTTCTGTTTTTTTTACTTGTGCCTTCAAATATCCCCCTACTATTCCCGCTCCCTCTTTCGGTGATGAAGCCTCTTTAATTGCTTTAAAAGCACCCGCCAGTGATGTTGAACTATTTGCACCCGTTTTGCTGGCATCTCGTTCAGTATGTTTTTCGTGTTCAGAGGGACGTTTATCGGTATTATTTCAACCTTGTTCTTTTTTGTTTTCAACTGGACTAACTTTACTGTTCTTTATGTAATAAGCAACGGCCGCTGGCAAAACAGAAACAATCATCTTAGCCATGAACTTTAAAGCCCTTCAAAATCCACCTTCATCATCACTACTATCAGTTCACTTACTTAAACCTTTTTGAACTCTCCTAATAGTTGACATAATAACATCCTTACCGGCCGTATGACCCGACACCTTTAACTCCACGCGAAAGACAGAGGCTCCTGTTTCAAAATGGTAACAAATGCCTTCTATGGAAGCTCGAGTTTTAACTCGATATTTCATGACATGTTTAGCCGCACCAAAATCTTCTCCTCTTTTTTTACCCTTAATTCCGTGCTTTAATTTACCATCTCCTTCATCATGATAAATCATAACTTGGTTTAGATTAGCCGAAGTTATTAGTTTTCTTTGGAAATAAAACTGGACTGAACTGTATTCAGCAGCAATCAGATGAGGTTGTTCGTTAAAGCAACCAGGCAACCAAGCCTGATAAGCATTATCCCAACCAGCAGCAGGCTTGCCATCATATCCCTTGTCATTCGGTTGGTAAAAAGAAGAATACCATTTATCTTTCATAGGTTTATGGTCTTGAGGATACAAAAAGAAATAAACATTATCAGGAGAAGCCAAAGATTTTGTTAAATCATCTTTAGTTCCTTCTCGTAATAAAGCTAATTCAGGAATATATTCATTACAACCTTCGGGTTTAATAGAACTACAAGGCAAGTGTCCTTCCTTAAATTCAGTTTCAGCATCGGAAACCAGAATCTTGTATTTTGGATATCAATGTTCGTTTGGAACATTACTATCAGTAACTATTTCCCCATTGGTCGTACTGACCTTGTCGGTTCCTCTAAGAATATTGGGAGTGTATTTAGGCCGTCTTAAATCTCCACAAAAAGAAAAACAAACATCGGGATATTCTTCTCCATCTGGCCTGTATCTCATTAATTGACTTCGAGTTATTCGAGCCCGACCAGGACTAGACATAACATTAGGATGATATAACCAAACATCGTCCCTTTCGCAACTAACTAACAGAATTAACTTTTTTGGGTCAACGTAATCGTAATGAACCACCCTATACATATTAGTGTGCTGTTTTCAATTATTTTTCTCTGACCCTTTGAAAAATAAAACTACACCAGGGTTAAAAAAATCTACCCCTGATGGTTCACCATCATCCATGTTTCTCGGTTGAAAAACAAAGTGTATCATACCGTCACCAGCCCTTAAAAAAAAGCAAGGAGTAGTTTTGGCTTTTTCCAGTTCTTTAATAACATCTTCCTTAATTTCTTTTCAATCTTTTTCCGTAGCAGGTAGAAAAGTTAAATCTTCTGTCCATCCTTTTATTTTGGTTCATTTGTCGTAAATGATTAATTCTGATTTTCAAAATCTACTTCTAGTGCGGACGTCCCTTAAAGTCAAGATGTTTTGAGCCAAAGTTAACACCTTTTGGTCAATTGGTTCTCTGTGAGCAGTATTTTTAATTCTACTTGTTGCCATAAAATTCTTTGTTTACAGCAACTGGTTTTTACTAGAACCTTTTATAATTTGTTTTAGCCTAAGCCGGCAAGAAGCAGGTATTTTTCATTCAAAACGAAGACAATGGGGGGTGGTGGAAACAAACCCAAACTGAATAGAAACTGACAAAGTTTTTATAACTGATTAGAAAAAAATATTGTGGATAGGGAAGCAGGTGGCCCAGTAAGGGAAATATCAAGGAGGAGAAAAGGGGGGAGTATCCTTTAATGGTAATAAATGTCGGAGAAAAGGTTATTGAAAAACCAGAACTGGCTGACTGGTTGGATTGTAAAGGTGTAAAATTACTATATTATGGTTAACCCACAAGAATGGTTAGAAAAATATTATCCTGATAAGGAAACAAGTAGAATATACATAAACCAACAATTAGAAGGAATTTT